CTTTTCTTTGTCATGCATGAAGGAACATATATCCTGATACAGGATACATCACGTACACATGGATAGTTTGCCTCAGCTTGGATGCTATTGGAAAGCAGAGGTTTCCCCCTCTTCCCCACAGCACTGTGGTGCTTCTGTGTACCTCTGCCATCTTTCCTGCAAGTTTTCCCAAACCTGCTTTGCTGTGGTGTTTTGTGAAAGTTCATAGCGAAACTGGGGCAGCAGTCAGGTGGAGAGGAAAGTCCAGATCTTCCTGGACCATGCTCCAGTCCCTTATGACAGCCACTTTCCCTCTCACGCACCAGAGGGCTATAAAAAAATAGCGACTGGCATATCATTGTAATATTTTAAAAATCTGCCAGGTTTCCTGAATTCCTACTTTCAGTTTTTGTAAAGGTACATTTCTAACCTCTATGTTGTCAAGATATAATATGAAAGGCATTAAAAAAAATATGAAAGCTAGGAATTTGGAGAACTGAAGAGACAGTTTATTATAAAGTTATAATGCTACAACAATATGCCAATTGCTGATATTGTAAAAGCCCTATGGTGGTATCAGGGGAAAAGGCTGCCATGGGGCACTCAAACAGGGAAAATACAGAGAAAACTGCAATGTGGAAATCCTGCAATCACTATGCCATATTGGTAGCCACAGAAGCAATAAAGAAACCACACAAGCTTGTCCCTGTGTGGAAAACGGTGTGTGCGTGCATGCACGTGTATGCGTGTCTGTGTGTGTGTAGCTATGATCATTATCCATGTTATTATTTGTGTGGAACCCATTCTGGCATAAAGCTATCTCAGGAAGAGGGCCAATATCTTGTCCTGTGTGGTAATACTTCATGTATCTGGGGTTTCCCCCCCTATTTGCACAATTTTGTACTTCGTAGACACTGAATTTGTCTACTCAGTGATATGGGCTCCTTATACAAATCTTACAGCATGTTTGCAGCTTAGCAATCTATTTTATCACCTGTAAAAATCTGAACATGGATAAACATTAGATAAGTCTCTCTACTTTTTAAGGTGCTCAGATTTCTGCAATCGTATATTGCTATCGATTGATTTTAAAAAACTTCTGTGGTTTTAAAAAAGTAGAAGCATTCTGCAACTGAAATAACCAACAAAGATTTTTGCATAACCTAATCCTTGTACATACCTACTTTAATAATATTTTCAAGAACAAAACAATCAATTTCAGTTACTCAAGGGATGTATTTTGAAGGTAAGTTTTAAAAAGTCAATGAAGTTAATAAACTGAATGAGAAATCTCCTAAAACTGTAGAATATCTTTTGGTTATTTGATATAAATATATCTGTTTTCTACGATAATGATTTTCCAAACTTATTTAACAGAACCCACAAAAAAATGTCAAATTATATTAGACCAGTGACTCAATTAACAGTTAGCTAGAAGAACACATATAGTAGCCCAAGTTGCCTATTCTAGCTCTAGAAGTCTCTTCAAAATTATACAGCAGGATTGTTATAATTTGTCGCCATACAATCCATGCTGTGCCAATAGTTAAAACATTCATAAACTTAGGCAGCTCACAGATCTTACATGTTATTTGTAAAATGGCAGTTTTCTTTGTATGCAAGGTCAATCCCCAGCATGTCCGGTTAAAAGGACTAGATAGTAGGTGACGTGAAAGACCTCTGCCTGAGACCCTGGACAGGTGCTGCCAGTCTGAGTGGACAATGACCTTGATGGACCATGTGTACATACAAATCAATTTATTTTGCATCATCAGTAATCACAATGCAACTGTCTTAAATATTAATCATCATTATAGGAGGAGGAGACTGGATTTATACCCCGCCCTTCACTACCCAAGGGAGTCTCAAAGCAGCTTACAAACTCCTTCCCCTTCCCCTCCCGACAACAGACACCCTGTGAGGTAGGTGGGTCTGAGAGCGCTCTGAGAGAAACTGCTCTTATTCAAGAACAGCTCTGACAGAACTATGGCTTGCCCAAGGTCATCCAGCAGGTGCAAGTGGAGAAGTGGGGAATCAAACCCGGTTCTCCCAGATTAGAGTCCGCGCACCTAACCACTACACCAAACTGGGTCATCAATTATGCATATTTTCATTTTGTTTGTATCGCTTTAAGATTTAGGATTATTTGACTGTTACTCTGTTTATACATAGTGTACATAACAAGGGAAAGAAACAGCAAAGATGGAGACAGCAACAGAAGATCTAAGGAGAATCCAAAACTCTGAACCTGTCTTCCAACCAAGTTTAGGATATCCCAAACAGAGACACAAACAGCATGCTCAGCACTCACGTTGTTAGATCACAGGAACATGCAAGACCTTTTTAAAAATGCCATCTTAGGTAAATAAGAAAATGTTTACATTAAGCAACAGAAAGTGAACTAACTACTAAATAGAATCTGATCAAGTGTAGTTGTAGGGGGATCTTTTTAAAAATGCGGAACAAAGAGAATTCAGGAGATACATAGATTAATTCAGGAGATACATAGTTTAAAAATTATCGGCTTGAATAGAACAGAGCCATAGTTTACAAACTTTCCATCATCTCTTGTGCACTAAACGTAATTAAATCCATGGTTATTTGTTTTTAAAGTCAAAGATGCTTTTGTACTGAATGGGTAACTACTAATCTCTATTTATGATACACAGGATTTAATCTTACCGATTCAATGCAAATGCGTAGTGAAATTTAATATTGTGCTGATCAGCCAACTCACAGGTTGGCAGCATTTCCAGTGTTTCCACCAGCTTTACCATGGCACCATAGTCCTAGCATCAGTTGGAAAAGACAATGAAAAAGTATCAGTCAACAAGATCCATCATCAAATAGTCCCCCCCCCCTTCTTATTTTACAAAATATGACCATGACCAACACATCTTTAGAAAAGCTAAATTCCTTCTTCTTGACAGCCACTTCATCAAATGGCGAAACTGGCAAGCAAGGCGGTTTCTACCTACAAGGAATAAAATCTACCTCTACCGAGACCGGAATTTATGAACAAATGCAGTCCTGAATGCAACCTGTCCTTGCCTGTGATAACAAGGCTCCCATGTCATTCTACTAAATGGTTAACATTTCTCTTAAGACATTTATCTCCTCAGCTAAACAGAAGCTTGCAGTGAAATGATAAAGTGGCCTTACAGGTAATCTGTAAGAACTTTTCAATTTACAATATCTAAAGTCAGCTTCCTACTAAATAAAAGCAATATATTCAGATAAGAGTCTAGTAGCAAAAATAATCACGTGGATCATTGCTCAACTTGTGATGGAGGTTAATAAATACCCTAAAAGAGAGCACAAGAATTTTGCAGCAAATAACTATCAACAAAAGATCCAAGACCAATACATTGATTTTAAAACCCATTATTTCTGGTAAAATAACATACCTGGATATCTCGGTAGGACAGAAGCAAGTTTATTATTATATCAGAGGTCAGGACTTCAGTATTATCCATACGAAGCTTAATCCTAGTCAGCTCCTTTGCCAGTTCTTCTCCTTGATACTTATCTCTAGCTTTTCTAATGTCATTCAGCAGGGCTTCCTTGTAATATGTGCTGATGGAATAAGCAGAGTGAGAAAAATCATTAAAGTTACCCGAATGGCAAGTTAAACACTGAAAACAGAAGGTATGGACAAATGAAGCATTAACACTAGAATGTGAACTACCTAACTCAATAGCTAGAATCAAAAGCACCATTTAAGCATTCATAAGTGTCTAATCAGATGACTCTTTTTTTTCTTTAAATTACAGACCCTCATGTCTTACCAAAAACTGCTTTTTGAAATTTTCTTTTTTTATATTATATTTGTTGCTTTTATGGACACGTACACAAAAAAGAAAAACATAGAGAAAGATACCAACATACAATAAGGAGCTATACAAATATACACATAATGTAAAATAGGATTCCATCCCACTATTTTGTTTAGTTATATTTATGTTAATTGTTTGCACTCTCACCACTGCCAGGTTAGTGGCACATACAGGGCTATTTTTGGGCTGGAACGCAACGGAACGGCGTTCTGGCTGGTGTCCGAGCCAGCCCCGTCCCTCCCTGCCCCACCTCACCAAGAGCGCTGCTGCCGCTCCCCACCCCTGCTGGTCCTTGCCGTCCTCTTCAGCCTGGGGCAGGCTGCTACTCCATGCAGGGCCCACCATCCTGGGCCCTCTCCCGCTGTCAGCAGCCCTAGGCCCGTCGCGCTGCGCACTTCATGGCCCACACTTTCCGGAACCTGCTCCTTTGAGCACCCAGCCGTGCCTCCTTACCCCCCCCCACGGCCCCGCCAAGCCCTCGCAACAGGGGTACCTAAGAGTATTAAAACGCTGGGTTGGTTGTGTGTGTGAGAGAGAAAGATTGAGATCCAGGCTGAGTCTTAAAATGCCGGGGGGTTGTGTGTGTGTGTGTGTGTGTGTGTGTGTGAGAGAGAGAGAGAGAGAGAGAGAGAGCGCTAGGCTGAGTCTTAAAACACTGGGTTGGTTGTGTGTGTGTGTGTGAGAGAGAGAGAGAGAGAAAGATCGAGATCCAGGCTGAGTCTTAAAATGTGGGGAGGGTTGTGAGAGAGAGAGAAGAGAGGAAGAGGAAGAAGAGATGGATTTATACCCCGCCCTTCACTTGGAGTCTCAGAGCGGCTTACAAACTCCTTTCCCTTCCCCTCCCGACAACAGACACCCTGTGAGGTAGGTGGGGCTGAAAGAACTCTGACACAAACTGCTCTTTCAGGAACAGCTGTGCCAGAGCTTGTGACTGATCCAAGGTCACATCAGCAGGTGCAAGTGGAAGAGTGGGGAATTAAACCCAGTTCTCCCAGATTAGAGTCCGCACACTTAACCACTACAGCAAACTGGCTCTCTGCACACGCTGCCAGAGAGAGAGAGAGAGAGAGAGAGAGAGAGAGAGAGAGAGAGA